ATTACTTTTAACTTATTTCATACTACAACAACTTGCATTAATATAGTTCGAGCGACATTTTTCATTTCAAAATAAAGGACTTTAAACTCTTCAAAATATATTCATTATATGTTATATTAGTCTGTAATATTTCATTGTATTCATTTGATCCCCAACTTATTAAATTCTTATCCCAATGATGAAATGACGGCTGAGTTATATTTTACGCCTTTCTAATTTAACTGAAAACCACATAAACCCCCATTGCAGTCTACAGTAAAGGAAACAACCCAACTTCGTTAACAGGTGTACCAAACATTCTAGAACTTATATTAGGTTTGATGGAGCCTTTTATTTGTATGTCATGACACTGCAAATCTGTGTCTGTATGTATTTATCTTTGTACATTTACATCATTTACGCACTATGCACCACTAAAATGTTGGTTATCTCACCCACTGTTTCAGTTAATAGAAGATGGGTTCATTATGAAATTTCAATTGTCATTTTTACAAGAATTATGTCTCTTACACACAACGTTGTCTTGTGCAGGCGAAAGATCAGCCGAAATTGAAATGCAGACGATCTGATTCCGGCATATGGGACACCGCCTTGGACCATAGAGTCCTACGTTGCCTACTCCGTGCAGGGTTCTACGGGGTGTATCGGATTGGGTCTATTCAATTGGACCACCATCTCGTTACAACTCTCGTAGAGAGATGGCGCATAGAGACGCGCACATTTCATTTTCCTGTTGGAGAGTCCACAGTTACATTACAAGATGTGGCTATTCTATTTGGCCTACCGGTTGACGGACACGCAGTCACTGGAAAAGACCCAGGAAAGAAGTTGGATGATTTGATAGCGCTATGTGTGGAGTTGTTAGGAGCAGCACCTACAGCAGAAGACTTCATAGGCTCATCGCTTAAGTTGAAATGCATCCAATGAGACGGTTCATCATTATGCTCAAGCCTATATTTTGTGGCTTATTGGGGGGGTACTCGTCCCTGATAAGTCACAAAATATAGTCAAGATGATGTTTTTGCCACTACTTAGAGACTTTGACCATATCCAGGAGTACAGCTGGGGTGGTGCCACATTGGCATGTTTGTACAGGATGTTGTGTCGGGCAACTAAGGCTGATACAAAGGAGATAGCTGGCCCACTAGTGTTGTTACAAGTGAGTTGCAATGACTTGTAGTTTTATCTCATATTCTCAATTGCCATGTTTTCTAAAGTGCCTACTATAATAAATTAATAATGGCATCATTCATTGTAGGTTTGGGCGTGGAAGAGATTGAGCAGGATCGCCCCTAGTCGGAAGTCGAACATTGCTACTGGTGAGCGTGCCATAGGGGAGGGCGGCCAGCTGTTACCACCTGGGCCGCGAGCTTGCAGGTGGAGGGTTCCCTTCAGCCATGAGGTGATATCGACTAATGTCAGTGTTATCTTCCGGGACCAGTTCGATCACATGGTGGAGGGGGAGGTTTGTAATTTGTTCATGTGAATTTACCCATTTTTTTGTTTGTCAACCTCCGTTGTACGAATAGATCTCTAAATTATTGCATTGCTATTGCAGTTCATATGGGAGCCTTACGGGACGGAGGATGACGTCATGACCAGCTTCCCATCGTATTGTACCGTTGGTCGAGATATATGGATGGCGCGAGTGCCACTTATATGCTTCGATATCATTGACTAGCATCTCCCCGACCGGGTGCTTAGACAATTTGGACGAGTTCAGAGTGTGCCTAATCGCTTTGACGCCCACTTGGCTATGCATTTTAGAGATAGGCGTGGCAAAATGGCCATTGATTGGGCAAAGGAATACCAAACATTTATTGGTGAGTGGAACAACCGACGCAACACCATTGTCCATGCTGAGAGGAGCAATGAAGTGCTTACATCTTCGGACCCATACATGTTATGGTTTCGCCGTCATACACGTCTAGTACTTAGTAATCCGAGTGACATTGCTGCCTTCGGATACCAAGGCGTCGGGGGTAGTTTAGAGGGATTGGTAAGTTATTTATATTCTCCAAAACAACATTTGCTTAAGTTTGTGTATGTTTGTTATTTGGCATTGATGGTTATGTAACACAACTACCATTACATTACAGGTTCGTAGAGTTGCGGGGGCATATCACATGGCAGACGCTGCCCATATTACACGTGATGCTAGAGAAAAATCGGATGCCATTGTCGAGATACGGGAGTTATTGTACGATGGTTTGCAACAGGCACACCGATGTGATTGACTAGATTTCGGCCACTTTGGCGAGGATCCTTATATGGGGGTAGATATTACAGTGACATCAATGCTGCACCCGAATATGCCATCCACTGAGCCATCGACATCAATGCCTCCACCGCATCCTACCGCACGTCATGCACATCAATCGGACTATTTCGATATGGAACACTTTGGTGAGGGGCCTTCCATGGTCCTGTCCCCTCATGGTCCATCTACAGCAATGCATACACCGCAGACTTCCCCACCTGAATGTACCAATTACACGTCCCAGTTTGCCCATGAGGTAGATCCTCTAATGTCTGAACATACTTCCACACACCATGGCCATATATTGGACCCCTCCTGGTCACCACCCCCATATAGGACAACAGTTGGTACCTCGGTGACTCCCTTAGCACCACTGTCTACTACATGTCTGTCTACTATGATTCCCTCTGCGTCGACATTGTCCGCACCCGACCCTTTCACAATACCATCATCTCCTACCCCATCATCATCTCCTACACCACATATAACCTTCACCTACCATGTTGATCCATTCATTACCCATGACTTCCACATTGACGGGGAGGGGGAGGGCCAAGTCCATGCACCTACCAGAGGGACAAGTAAGGGTAGAGGTTGTAGCGGCCATCGTGGTGTAAGTAGAGGCCCAGGGCGAGGGCGAGGGCGACGCCAAGCAATAGACCATGACAATAATGTAGCGGATGATGGCGTTTCACAGCTTAGTGCCGTATGTGAAAGTGTGCCGGAGATGGTATCAAATGATTATATTGCAGCCATTGGTGATGTGCAGCCAGCTTCTATAGAAGCGGGCGAGGGAGTCGTACGTGCGGCAGCGCAAGATATATTGAGAGTATATAGTAAGAGACCCAGGAGACAAACCCATGGAAGGGGTTGTGGAACAGGGGGAAAATTAGGACATTAGGAACAACCAGCATTGGTAAGTATATTCAAACATTATGTTCAGGTGGTGTTTTCACTTGGATTAGTCTACATTGTTTAAGTTGTGGCTTATTATATAGTTCTGGCTTTTGGCTTATCTTATCTTGTAATTGTGGCTTATTTTATAAGATTCTAGATGCTGATGCTGCTGCTATTTTTGTTATTGTTTTGAAGGAAGGGGTAGCTGCTTGCTGTGTTGCTGGTTGCTTGCTGCTTCTTCACTCTGGTTGCTGCCGACTGTGTGTTGCTACTGCTAGCTTGGATCAGTGAGCTAATAATTGGGTATGAATTTTATGGTCTTAAAATAGCTTTGGAAGTGTTGCAGCTCCCCACTATTAGCTAAAGAAGTCAATGAATTGATATTTTCCTGTTTTGTGAAACAAGAGGTTATATATTTATATACATTAGTTAATTTTTTCTTCTTACAATTTACTACCCTTAATGGGTAGTCAGTTGTTTTGGTTGAAATTGAATAGCCAAGCTGTCAACCCTAAATTAATTTTTTGTGCACTTCTAGGGTCAGAGCCAGATTTCTTACATCGTGTTTGTGGAATATAATTTAATATTTCATGCGTTTTTAATTGAAATATACCTTATAATGTGGGGCTTTTTGAAAATTTTTGCCATCTTTGTGCTTTTGGCGTTTTAAATGTTGTCTACCACTTAGGCCTCATTCGGCTTCGATATCATTGTAGCCAAAAAGTCAAAAAGTCACTAAAAAAACTAAAAAGCCAACCACTAAAAAGGATCCCAACAGAGTGCATTAAAGTGTTGCAAACTCTGTGATGTTTTAATCCCCACCACATTGCTTCTCAATTTTTATATATTGACATGCACTTATAGCATTTATCAAATTGTTGCTAGCCTATATTTGTTGTCATAACTCAACTCTTGTTTGCTTGATTCTGTTCATTCTAAAAAATACCTTCTTCGAAGAGTTTTTGAGGTTTGCATAAAGTTATCTAAACCAGAAAATCTCCAAAGTCATGTCGTCATATGATATGCACATACTAAATCAAATATATGAATCCCAGGTGGTTGCAGAAGCGAGGAGCTCAGAAGCTTTTGTTGCTCTCTGCCTACTGACAGTTGCTGGGACTTCACACCTAACCTAGAAGTTAGGTTTCAGTGACACGGTGTGATATATATTTCTCAAAGATGGAGAATACCTGATATTGATGCTATTCAAATTTATTAGTTTATGTAATTTGTGATTTTTGCGTTCACTGTGCAGCTTGGAACATTTTTGGCTGGGGCATTATTAGCAGAAAAAAATTTCCGAACACAGATTGAAGCTGATATAAGGCCATTTAGAGGCTTGCTGCTTGGGTTATTTTTTGTTACTACTGGCACTTCCATTGACATGCAGGTAGTTCCATGCTTTTATCCCATATGTTGTGTTTTAATTATGGTGCACTGTTTCATATTCATTCCTTGGGTACAAGGTTAGGTTGATGATTTCGTAGAGTGAGGTTTTGGAGATGAAATGTCAACTGTTTGGAGGGTGTTAGCAGTCACATATGAAAAATAATTCAATTGTTTCTTGTGGAAAAGAAATTTTTGGGAATTTTACCTAAATTCCTTAGATGTCATCAGTCATAATGTAAAATGAAGGAATTTAGGGTTGAGATTTAGAAGGAAGAAGAAGAAGAAGTTTTATATATTGAAATAAGCATCAACCTCAACTTTACATCAGTCAAATATATATACAAAACCCTAACATAGCAATATGACCATCGTACTCTCAATTTAGGTAAATATTAACAATAGAACAAAAGAACAAAATTTAACTTCCCAACCAAAGATGGGAATCATTTATCTACTTAACCTATCCTTTGATATTTTTGTACTCAGAACTGCTTTTACTCATATATGCTTTTTCTGATTTGCAAAACTTTACAACAGACGGAACTACCGTATGGATGTCACGGTCACCTTCCCCATCATAAATACGAGCTGTGACAAGAGACGAAATTTAATAAGCCCGCGTAGGTTGGGAGTTAGAGTCGAAAACGCGTTAAACTTAACCGAAAAAGGGCGTTAAAGGGGCGAAAATATGAAACAGCCCCCGAACTACCATATGGATGTCACGGTCATCTTCCCCATCATAAATAGGAGCTGTGACAACAGACGGAATTTAATTAGCCCGTGTAGGTTGGGAGTTAGAGCCGAAAACGCGTTAAACTTAACCGAAAAAGGGCGTTAAGAGAGCGACAATATGAAACAGCCCCTGAACCACCATTAGGATGTCACGGCCACCTTCCCCATGATAAATAGGACCTGTGACAATAGACGGATTGTAATTAGCATGTGTAGGTTGGGATTTAGAGCCGAAAACGCCTTAAACTTAATCGAAAATTGGCGTTAAAGGGGCAAAACTGCGAAACAGCCCCCGAACCACGTTACGGATGTCACGGCTACATTGCCTGTGACAAATAGGACTTGTGACAACAGACGAAATGTAATTAGCACGAGTAGGTTGAGAGTTAGAGCTGAAAATGCATTAAACTTAATCGAAAAATGGTGTTAAGGGTGCGAAAAAGCAAAAAGGGCGTTAAGAGTGCGAAAAAGCTAATTGATAAACTCACTTTGTTGCTGTATAATTGATATTGTGTGTTATATCCTCATAAATCATTATTTGCCTATTTTAGTTGAAATAACAATATGTTAAGCTAAAAGGAATCATTGACTGATTTTTATTAATATAGTCTTGCTATATCAATTGGTATATTCGCTGTGTTATTCATCTAAATTCATCTGAGTTAGTTATCTAATTTTTTCCTTCTCCATAAGCTAACTCGACTTGTTAAATAAATTGAACCATATTCTGTTTAAAAAAAAATCAAGCTCTGCATTTTTTATTACTTACCTCACTGGTTTTTGTTGCAGATTGATAATGTTGGCATGGATACAGTGATGTTTTTGGGCCAGATTGATGATGTTTGCATGGGCGCAATTTACATTATATTTTTTGTTTATGGAAAACATGTACAGCTGATATGTTTTGTTATTAAGTTTTTTTTTTTTTAGTTTGAATTGTAATTGTTGGTTCGGATAGTATATGTATTTGTTAGATTATACTATATTTATGGATTCTTATTTTCTCTGATATGTACGGTTAATAGTTAAGTTGTGTATATGATTGAAAATTGAATGCTACAGGTTGTGGAGAAATATTTTTATTGAATGGTTGAGAATTGAATGAATGAATGGATGGATGAATAATTTTGTATATGCACAGGTTATAGGTGACAAATAATTGAATGAAATAATTTTGAATGAATAATTGAATGAAATAATTTTGTCTATGCACAGGTTACAGGTGAGAAATAATTTTGGATGAATAATTGAATGAATGAATGGTTGTGGAGAAATAATATTGTTAATGTGATTCTTATATGAATTCACCTTGTGTAGGTTCTACTTACTACCATAATGATTCTGCCTTGCCTACGACCACATTGGCCCTGACAGATAATTGTTTGAAGGAAACGGCCATATGTCAAATTTTAGGGTTTAATGTTAAGGGCTGGTGTGGACGGCTTGTGTTTTCACCATCTCAATGCCTGATATTTCCTGCTTCTAAGCCTTTCTTTCGTTATAAGTATGACTATATACTTCAGTTAGCTTTTTCTTCACGTCTAGCAACCAAGTTTCAAATTTATTTTGCATTTCTTCTCAGGTGTTGTCCCTGTATTTCATCCCATTTTTGTCCCTCAAGATGTCGACACATTTGATGTTGAAGCACTAAACATTGCAATGCCGAGTCTGTCACCTGCTCAATCTAACAAATAATCTTTGCTTACTCTTCTTGGTCAGCCTTTAGGTTCTTCTCTTTCGGGGCCATCAGGTCTCAGCCCCCCCCCAAAAAAATTTTACAAGGAAACACCATGACAAATTCAATTGTTGAGGTATTCAAGCAGGCTGCAGTGCGCCTTCAGGATGATCTTCTCAATGTTTTGAAGTCCAAGAATTTTCATGATCATGAGTCTATGATCCTAGAGGCCTGTTTTATTTTTTGTGCTCTAGATGCTCTGTTTGTTGATTCTCAACCCTTTAAAGAACAAGCGGAGGAATTTATTGGTTGTGCAGCATAACTTGCTGAAGTAGAATTGTCTATTAACAATTTTGTGTATAATGATAAAGACTTGTTCCTTTCTTTATGGTCTCTTATTTATCTTTAGCTCTTTTATTCTGGTTTTTATGTTGAGCAGTGACTTTCAAATCCTTTGTAAGACCAATCCAATCAAATCTTTGTAAGACCAATCCAATCCAATCCGATCTCTCATTTCCAATTCCAAATTCAAACTTTTTTTGAATTCTCAGATCATACCAGGAATTACAAGAGGAAGAGGAAATCAGCCTTGAGAAAACATTGCTATATATAGCACATGTAATTTGAAGTCTGATTTAATAGGGTTTTTGTTTTGAGTAGTTGTTGTTAAGGGTAGTTTATATTTTATTGAACTAGTAGGGTTAAGTGTGTTGGATTGAAGAAGTTTTGTTAGGCTAAATAGAGAAAATTAGGGTTAGGATTTATGATGGAAGATTGATTGATAATGGTGCGGCTGTTGGGATTGATCGGCCAATTTCCCTGTTTGGGGCATTTTGAATATTTTAGTCTGATTTCTAGGTTGTATTTTCTACTTTATTCCCAATATAGGGTGAAACCGTTTTCATTAAAACGGCATTGGCAAAACCGTTTTTGATAGCTCAGTCAAAATGCTTACCTTAACTGGGGGTCCTCAAATAGTGACCTCTACGTAAAGAATTTCAATCTCCATCAGGAAAGAAGAAAGAGTCACCTTCCAATTGTGAGAAAAAATAAAATTTCATATATATTTTGTAAAAAATTGTTAGCCTATCTAACACACTAGTTCTATTATTTTATAGGACTCTATCTATCTAAACAAACACATAATTTTTTTTCCCTTTTCTTTCACTTTTCTGTATAATTGCATTCACTTTCTTTTTTTATGTATTTTCTATTATATCCAAAAAAAATGTTGCAGCAATGCATATTTTTTTTTCTTTTCTTAAATCATCGTTCTGCCAATGGCAGGGAATTTCTTTTCTTAAATCTTCTAACCAGAAGCAAGCAACAAAGAATTGATAGTGCTTGAGTGAAATAATGTCATAAACAATGTTGTATGTTGTGTCATATCTTCGTTACTGGAGTGTAAGACAATGTTGTTGTTCATCTAGCTTACGGATGTATTTCAACTATTTGTTATATGAACCTGAAGTTTATGAAATCACTACATTTATAAGTACACAAATCCATTCATTGAACTATTTGTAGAATTACAAGAACTATTCAAAAACAATTGAAATATCTCCCTTCATTGATAACATAGAGAATAAGCATTACAAATCCATTACAAGATAAATGGTTTGGTCATTCATCCAAACAATTTCATTCATTATCATCATCATCTGACATCTCAACATCAGATTCATACATAACATCCATGCTCCAGGCGAAGTACTGGTGTGCATCATCCATTAACCCATCTTCGTATATATAATATCAGATTCATACATAACATCCATGCTCCAGGTGAAGTACTGGTGTGCATCATCCATTAACCCATCTTCGGCACGCTCATTTGCGGTCTTCATTAGTGAGGACCTTTGCAAACGTTGGGTCATGCGATTAACCTCGTCGCGGATACGATGCAATGCCCTTTGCAACAACTGTGGAGTGTCAGTTGGCATACGCATGGCTAACCGACGAGGAAATTTAAGATTAACTTCACGACATAACTCAACGAGAACGTTTGCTCGAGTTTTGGAAAATTCCTACTCAGCTCTCATGGTATTGACGGTGGTGCGTGAGTAACGCAAATTTGGATTTAATGGGTATTGAAATTCATCTCCATCTGCAACCCAATAGCGACCCATTGCTGAATATAGATTAACCACCGTATATCTCATGATGATATCGCTCGAAATAGCTATAAAACTTTTGTTGTGGTATGATGCGATATTTATACCATATATATATACATGGTAACTGTATGTATGAAATTATTGTAAACAACTATGCATCAGAGTTGTCACGTCAACTTTTATGACCTGAAGAACTATGCATCAACTTGATAGGAGTTGTCACTTCGACTTTTATGAATTGCATAATTTATTGTTATTTCAAAACAAAAAGTAAAAAATTTGTGAAAAAATATTTCAAAAAATTAATAGAGCGAGTGCAAAAAATTAATAGAGCATTTCCTGTTCGATCACATCCATGCCACTGGCCTTATACAGTGCATTCGACTGCCAGGACTCCACTGTTGTCAAGTCATGAACGAATTTAAGGCCTGTAGCATCGGCTGTTGTGCCGCAGATGGTGTCAGCCTGGCTAGTGTACAAATGTAACTTTACCTTATTTCAAAGGCAAGTTGAAAATTAAGAGGTTGTTTGGGATGATCTAAATAAGTGTATTTTTTGTCTTTTTACGTAACCCACGTTTCACTCACAAGATCCACCATTATTTTAAAGTTTATTTCAAAAGTTGAGATTGTAAATGTTTCGCAAAATATTACAAATTCAATATTCAAAAGTTGATTTTAAAATAATTCCAAATGACCACCAATATTCAAATAGGCATACTTTTCAATGAAATACAAATAGTTGGTCGTAACAACGAATGATGCATAGCTAAGTGAAAAACAACATTGCCTATATAAGCTTCCTTTTCTATTACAGTGACAATTCAAAAAGTCGCATGGCAACAGTGAATTCACTGATTTACCTTACAGTGAGCATGCCCTTATTTTGTCCGTATATGCAGATGGATTGTCAAGTCATGTGACTTGGTGCACAGGCTTTGGTTTTCTCGATTTTTTTCTCAATTTTTTTTTATTACAGTGGCAACTCATCTTTTATTGATATATGTGGGATTCTCAATTCAGAAAGTCACATGGCAACAGTGAATTCACTGATTTACCTTACAGTGACCATGCCTTTATTTTGTCCATATATGCAGATGGATTGTCAAGTCATGTGATTTGGTGCACAGGATTTGGTTTTCTCGATTTTTTCCTCGATTTTTTTTTATTACAGTGGCAACTCATCTTTTATTGATATATGTGGGATTCTCAATTCAGAAAGTCACATGGCAACAGTGAATTCACTGATTTACCTTACAGTGAGCACGCCTTTATTTTGTTCGTATATGCAAATGGATTGCCAAGTCATGTGAGTTGATGCACAGGCTTTGGTTTGCTCAATTTTTTGCTCGATTTTTTGATTACAGTGACAACTCATCTCTTATTGATATATGTGAGATTCTGAATTCAGAAAGTCACATGGCAATAGTGAATTCACTGATTTACCTTACAATGAGCGTGCCCTTATTTTGTCCGTATATGCAGATGGATTGTCAAGTCACGTGATTTGGTGCACAGGTTTTGGTTTTCTCAATTTTTTGCTCGATTTTTTGATTACAGTGACAACTCATCTCTTATTGATATATGTGGGATTCTCAATTCAGAAAGTCACATGGCAACAGTGAATTCACTGATTTATCTTACAGTGAGCATGCCCTTACTTTGTCAGTATATGCAGATGCATTGTCAAGTCACATGACTTGGCACACAATATTTGCTTTACTCTGTTTTTCCATTCTAGTGACAACTCATACCTTGTTCGTATATGTAGGACTGTCATGCAGAGGCATCTTCCTAAAGCCGTTCATAACCAACTATATAAACAACTAAAGGTGAAGACACAACCTTACAACTTATTTCGCCCTACGAAATTATCATTCATTTGTTTTAAAAAATTAGCATGGCTACATGGTTCATGGGAGGGAGTGGGAGTCGCAGAGGTGGTAGGAACTTGCAAAGGGGTGACAGTTCACGACGAGGAGAGGGAAGGGGAAGTGACGATGCTGAAGATGAAACACCATTTGCTTTGTTAGATGCCTCTTGTGCTTATCATGATAGGTTTGGGAAGCAACATTTTGTCATGTCCAAGTACTATCGAGATCCAGGTGGTTTGGTGGAGGACCCATCAGATAATCAAATAGGATATGGTTTAGCAAACGCTAGACTTTTGAAGTGGCCCGCACTATTTATAGAGCGAGTGCAAATGGAAAGATTATGTCGGGAAAATCGACTGAAGGTGCCAAAAGTATGTTCTGTTGAGATCCAAAAGGAAGATCCTGATAATGTTGATCGACTATGTGAAAGACTACAACGTGAGATTTCTCAAATGGGCCGTAGGTTAGCCCGTGATATGCAGCTACACATAGTTAAGAAGGATGCCCAGAAGAACAGAACAGAACCAAATGTTGCGGCTATCAAGGGGATCATGGAGGCTCCTGAACTTGTCTCTGACGCTAAGCTTTCGGATTGTTCAGACTCTGAGCCACCTGCCGATTTAAGCGCGAATTAGGTGTTAATGTCTACACTTCGGCAATATAACAACTTGCATTAATATGTAATGTCTGTGTTAGACTAAGTGTTTCCCTAATGAGTTTGTCAGATTGTCTACCTAATATTTGTCTGTCTAACTATTATGTTTATGTATTGTGTGTTCAGTTCATGGTGTCTAGGATGTATGTATTGTGTGTTCAGTCCATGGTGTCCAGAATGTATTTTTGTGGGAGACTTATGTCTGTACTATCTATGTAACTGAAAACTGTTAGATTTGCAACTTCAGTTATGTTGTTTTCACGCATGTATGAGTATTCAGTAAATTAGTGACTTCTTATATTATGTATTAAGTTTTATTACAAAAATGTTGACAAAATTTATTTGTGGAGAAATACACTTTTATTTGTATTAAGCTTTCAATGTTCATCAAATTTTCGGCCCCAAACAGTGAAAGCATGTTTTGTAATAGCGCTTTAGCCTAGTTTGGAAATTTCGTCCAAACTAGGCCTAGTTTGGGAATTAAGATGATAATTTGGCTTAATATGGGAAAAGCCCCGAAATATAGTGCACATTAAAAAAAATATATATATTTAAAACATAAAATATTTATTCCCACTCTAGGGTGGGTTTTGTAAACACTTTGAAATTTTGAAAATTTTTTAAAAGTGATTTTGGAATTTTTTTTTCCAAAAATTTGAACTACAAAAATTCATTTTTTCTGTTTGTTTGTATTTTTGTCATTTAGTGTATTTATGCTTGGTATGTTTAAAAACTTAAAATATTAAAAAATTCAACAAAAACAAAAAAATATGAAAAATAAGAAAATAGAATTTTCTAAAAAATGTTTTACAAAACTCAAAGCAAGCATTACGTTTTAATTTTATTTTTATTTGTGCTGTAATTTTCTAAAGAAACCCATCTTTGAATGCATTGAAATTGCTGCTCTCTTACTCATCTTTTCATTCCCAAGTCCAACCTTCCCACATGAGAAAACATAATTAAAAAAAAAAATTCTAAAACCATTTTTTATTAAAAATATTTGTCGTCAAAAAATATTTATGTTGAAAATATAAATTTAAAAAAATTAATGTAAAAACTTTATATTTTAAAACCACTTTTTATTAAAAATATTTTTTGGTAGTTTTCATATTTAAGTTGAAAATATAAATTTTAAAAAATTAAAAATTAATGTAAAACCGGTTTTTGTAAAACGATTTTTCTAAAACCGTTTTTTATTAAAAAATATTTTTGGTCATAACATATTTATTTAAAAAAAATTAATGTAAAAACGGCTTTTCTAAAACTGGTTTTTATTAAAAAAAAATTTTGAACAAAAAATATTTATGTTGAAAATATAAATTTAAAAAAAAATTAATGTAAAAAACGGCTTTTCTAAAACTGGTTTTCATTAAAAAAAAATTTTGAACAAAAAATATTTATGTTGAAAATATAAATTAAAAAAAAAATTAATGGAAAAACGGTTTTACGAAAACCGTTTTTAATTAATTTAGACTAATTAAAAACTTAATTAAAAACGACTTTAAAAAAGTCGGTTTCTATTTTCAAATTTTATTATTATTTTAATTGATAAATACAATTTTTCAAAAATTATTTTTTAAAAAACGGCATTACAAAAATCGTTTTACCTTACTTGGGAATAAAGATAAAAACGCACCTTAAAATGGGACTAAAATGTTCAAAACGGAAGAAAGAGGGAAATTGGCCAAGTTTGAGCTCATTCTCTCTCCTCTCCGCCTAAAACCTCTAACGCTCTCATCCCCTCACTCCTCTCCACCTGAAACCCTCTCATCCCTCGCTCATCCGACTACCTCTCCGACGTGCCATTCCGACTCCATTCGACTACCTCATCTGACTCCACACCGGAAAGTTCTCATACTCTGCTCATTCTCCTTTGACTTGGTGGTCAGCGAGATACTCCTCTCATGCTCCTCTCGTTCGACTACGCTCATCTGACTCCTCTCAGTGCCGGAAACTTGTCATACGCCGGATTACCGACCAATTGAAAACGAATCTCAGGTAAACCCGACATCGCAAAACTAGGGTTTGAAGATTCAAGAAATTAGGGTTTCGTGTTTTTCCTTTTTGCCTGACTCTCTAATGTATTTATGTATATATGTTCAGTTGTTTGAATGAAGAATTTGATGGAGTTTAATTTATGTCAAAATGTGGTTTGATTTTGTTGTGTGGGTTGTACAGTTAGTTGCCACACATTTAATTTTTTTTGCTGCTAATTTTTTCCAATGATTTTTGCTGTTACATATTGGTTTGCTGGTGAATTTTTCCCCAAGAATGTTTGCTGCTAAAATCATGTTTTGCTGCTGCATTGTTTGCTAATAATGTTTTTCTGCTACAAATTGGTTTGCTGTTGAGTTTTGCTCAAGAATTTATTTGCTAAATCTTGTTTTGCTGCTGAAATTTTCCATAACAATGTTTGCTGATAAATGTGGTATTCTTGCTGAATTTGTTTTTGCCTTTGGTTGTATACAAAGTCAAAAACAAACCCAAGTTCTGGGCAGTCCATTTGATACAATGTCTGAAAGTACAATCAAACATGACAACAGCAAGCAAGCACATCTCAGATTATCAGGAAGATATGGAAACTTAACATATGGATTTAAGAAAAAGAAATCTCAAATACTATTTTGTGGAAAACACAAGCAGATCGTTACAAATTAGCCACACTAACCCATTGATTTAAAAATAAAAAAAATAAATAAAGAAAAGGCAGTGGCTGTCATGCACGGACAACCTACACTATGACCAACACAGTGTAGGCTCAGGCCACCACAGCCATCCCACAGGCAGTTAAATTACCATTTTGCTCCTGCAGATCAATTTTGGAAAAAATAAGATTAGGGGCAAATTTGTCATTTCAACCTCAAATGTCATTTCAACCTCAAAAATCTAACCTAACTTCCCGAACATAAAAACTAAAATAGCCTACTAAAATAGCCAAAAAGTCTCTAAAATAGCCACTTCCTAAACACCCACATATTACATTCTCATTGTTTAGTTGCAGATTAAAAATGGCTTTTTCTTCTACGAACAATAGCAACATTACATTAAAACCAAGAATGTGTGACTGTGGGAGAACAGTTGCAATGTATATTGTACAAACCAATGAGAATGGAAATCATGGGCATTTGTTCTTTGTTTGCCCATCAAAATATATAAGTATGTGTTATGAAGGAAACATTTTCGTATTTGGAAATTATTTGTGTAATCTGACTACATCACTACAAAAACTTGGAATGCATTAGATCATAAACCAGTTCTGAAGAGAATCAGAATTCACTATTTTCATTAACAAAATTACAAACCATATAAACCATCAACTGCCCACAACATAAATTCCTACAATTGAATGCATCACTACAAAAACCTGGAATGCATTAGACCATAAACTAGTTCTGAAGAGAATCAGAATTTACTATTTTCATTAACAAAATTACAATCTTTCTATGTGGACTTTCATTAAACACCTGGAATGCATTACTACAAAAACATTGGCCACACAACCAATGAAAAACAAAACAAACCCAGGACCATTCCAGACATTTCAAATGCATCACAAAAATCAATAGATTTGCACCTATCGCAAATGCTAAAAAAATCAAAAGAGGAACTTACCTAATCTCCAATGCACGGCGGTAGGGATTTCAAACAGAAGTGGTCGTCATCGGAGAAGATGTTTCACTATCGTAGCTTACCTAAGTCGGTCGTCGGCGAACACCCAAGTCGGTCGTCGTCGTGGTTGTCGGAGAAGATGTTTTGCTCTGCTCTCTCGTTTCCCGCGCTTTCTCTGTCCTCTCCTTTCTCGTGTTTTGTTTTTAAATTGTTATACGTTTGTTTCTTTTCTTTTAATTTACTAAGCGCGTGACAGCAAAGGCAAATCATACTTTCGAGCCATTCGGGGTAGCTCCAGCAGCTTTTTAAAAACAAAAACAAATTTTAGCACACCAGCCAGTACTCAGCATAGTATAGTCCCCTGCGGAGAAGACTACATACATTTATAACCTTTTTATAAAAGCAACAAAATTTGAGTCTAAACAGTGCATCTAACAAATAGGAAATTATGAAATCACCCTCGTTGAAGATTGTTGGGGAAGCTACAATGACACCGGTTGAGCTGTATGCGGTGCTTCTCCAGCAAGCTCTTCATCAATTCGAGATCTGTGCCACTACAGATTAGGCAGTGTGCTTTTCACCCAAGCTTGTTCCTCAAGTTGTGAGATATTAAGAGGTGTAAATTGTTCAATTTCGTTGCTGCAAATTACTCTCAGGTTTGTCAAAGAAATTGTTCAATTTTTTACAATGAATGTTCGTTTGAGTGTTGTATCTTCCTTTATTCTGCAGTTTGCATTCAAATCCATACTATTTGTTATGTAATTTTTTGGTTTGCTATTTCTTTGTCTTCTATGGAGATGTCAATACCTGATTTCTATGCATCTGTATTAGATTGATGTTTGTTAGTGCATGGACAAATTATGCATACCATCTCCTTGACAACATGGCTGACTAAGCCTAACCAAGTTTAGCAAAGCCAAAAATTAATTCAAATTTTGTTTATTTTGTAGGAGAAAGTAGCACACTTTTTGATTCCTTATTAAATTTAGACAAAATTGTCTGCTTTATTCGTGTAAGGAAATTAGTTGGACAAGACATGGTAAGAGTGAAATCGAAATTGGCAAACTATTTTTGAATACTTGTCAATTGGGCATGCTTGGATCAAGCACAAACTGGGATTTTCTACCACAACCATGATCCTCTGATCGCCACTTACTATATCAAGGATCGTTGGTGAAAAGGACCAAACCTTTAGAAGAAGGATAGATGTGAATATGAAAAGAGAGGAAGATGTCTCAAACTCTTATGGATAGATAACAAACTCAAGTAATGAAATAAAAGGCTTTAGGGTGATGTTTGATGCCTCTAGAGTGGAGACATATACAACAATTTCTGTATGCAAGTTTCAGAATAATCCTCTTGCATCTTAAAATGTACTAGTTATGTTCACAACATAATCTCTCACAAAACTTCAATCTGAACATCTATCTCCCTACTACTTTACATCCGCAATAAGTTTCAAAACTCAAACCAAAATTCAATAAACCCGGGAAAAGTTTAGAATTCTAAAGTTGAAAATCAGATTCAAAACATCTAATCCCAACCCAGATATTTGATTACAGTAAAATTGGATTTGTGGGTGCCCCTGAAATCACCTATTATAGACCAAACCTACCAGTCTTTGGACCCCAGATTTGTTAAAGAGGAGAGATTACATATGAAGTTGATGAGATATTTGAAGAATTCAACCAGATATCTAAATTCATGTATGCAAACATTTTGTATCCCACAATGAGTCACTTTGATTGTCTTCTACAAATTGAATCTATTCTTTTTTTTGGATTGCATCCATTGTGGATTAGAGGGTTGGTGTGGCTTTTATATTATGCCAAATATCAGCCTCTCTTGCTATATTTTGGAATTGATTAGATTTTACTTCTCATGTGTATTTATCTCCTCCTGAATTAATAAGGGAGACACTTAGGCTGTGTTTGGATAGATTTTCAAACTATAATTCCACCCCTACATTCCAATGCCATGTTTGGATACATTTTTCAAATTATATTTTCACAACAAAAAGAAAACTCTGTGTTAGGCGGGATTTTTTTTTTTTTGAAATTTGGCTAAACTAGTCGTCCGACCGGTCAACTGGAACAGGACAAGTTTTTTTTTTTTTTTTGGTTGCAATTGGCACTTTTTTAAAAAAAAAAAAAAAATTTAATAAAGCAATATTTTCGGAATTTTTAAAATTTTTTTATGAGCTTTTAATAGATTTTTGAGTTATATGTTTGGTTATGAGTTGTAAGTTTTTGTATCAGATATTATATGTCACATAAAAAATTCCTTACTCAATTCAAAACTCTTTTCAAACTCATAACCAAACAAATTTTCTACACTCGAATCATAATTCCAAAACACACAAACTCAAAATACAACTCTATTCTCAAATCATATTTCCAAAACTCTTCCAAACACTACCTTAATATGACAAAATCAAAAGTCAAGGTTTTTGTTCATTCTAATTTTAGATTTTTTGTTTCTTTATTTCTCTCAAATTGCTTTCGTTTATTTATCGTTGTCTTCATTTTTCAGCATCACTGTCTGATGTTTATCCCTGCATTCAACTTGATATTGTAATGCTCCTCTCATGGCTGCAAATTCTGGTATGTACATGCCTACCTCCACACTTATTTGTCTTGTATGATATCCTAATTTCCATGTTCCTATTTTCTTTTGTATTTATGTGCACTACATGCATACCACATATTTGTCAATATGCCCGAAAAAATGAAGAAAAAAGAAAAATGATATACTTCAGACTGCCTTTACATTCTTTATGTTTCTCTTTATTTGCTTTGCAAAATTCTCCCAACTCAAGGAAACAAAAGCGATTGTTTTACTAAACTGGTTTCTAGATGTTTATGTATGATTGGAAAAGACGTTGCTCTTGTATTAGCTGAACTGGTTTTGGATTAGGAATAATGTATGATATTTTAGACAATACAAATGATCAGTGTAGTATTCCAAACTGCTTTTAACTTGTGGAGAATGTAATTTAGATGTTTGTGTATGATTGTCAACACCTTGTTCAGTTATTCACTGAATGTTTTTTCAATTAGGAATGACGGATATAATTATATTGGAGGTCCATGAAACAAAATCGAATAATATTGACAACACAAGGGACGCTTGCTAATAATAAATACTAAAGTTGTGGAACTTGAGGGAATCTAATCTAATTTAAATGTTTGTGTCTAACATGAATTCTTAAAATTAAATTCAAATTCAAATCTTAAAAATTGCAGATACTCGAATCAATCTTAAAAAATTCAACTACTCAAATTCTAATCAATTTTAAAACCACATGTAAACTAAATCTAATTTTTAACTATTTTGATTTTCTGAAGTTCACTATGATCTGGCTCGAAGATTCAACAACAAATGAACTGAAAAATGATACAAAGGAGGTGATGTACACAATTTTAGTTCTTCTTTTTTTTTTTTCTTTTCCCGGAAGCATAAAAACTTCATTTAGGTAAACTAAATCAGGTTTTTAAAAGCCATTTGTTTGCTAAGCTCAAATTATCAAACTTTAAGAGCACTGGATTCTGATAATGTTCCCACGGTTTCTTCAATGACTGAGGAAGAGATAAATGTTCTTCCTGTTCATAAGTACAAAGTTGCTGGCTCCCAAAGGTTAGTTATCAAGTACTACAATAATTCTTAGTATATCTGCTTCAAAGAGTCTCCTTTTCATGCTGTCCGTATCCAAGTAGCAGGATCGATTTTTTTTTTTTTTTTTTTTTTTCTTCTTGTTGGATTGAATACGTCCCTCATCATACATACTTTCTGAAATGCAATAGAAAAAATAAAAAGAAAAAATGCAAATGCAAATTATTGAATACATCCCTCATCATACATACTTACTTTGGATTCAATGAATGTGCCATACAATGGAGAGGAGTATTGTTTTTATTCCAACGATCCACGAGAATTTGATGTACCACATTGTAAAATGTAGATTCCTCATCTATTCTTTTCCCTTCATGCCTGTATATTGTCATCTTCACTTTCTCTATCATTGTGTCCCACATATCATACACTAAGTGAAGGCAAGGTTTGTCCGTATCACAAGCCCTAAGCATGTCATATACAGGACCCGTGAAGGAAAGAATATAATCAATGTAGTCCCACCACACATCATCCAAAATCTTTTCTTTTACAAATTTTGCCTTCCCAACATCATCCTCTCTATAGCAATTCCACTTGTCACTAATTACCATTGCTTGAAGCCCATGTTTTATAAGTTTCAACCTCTTGAGCATCACAATTGTGGAGGCAAATCGTGTTTCGGCAACCGATAGCAACTTCAATGACACAAATTCATTGTACATAGCCAATCGCATCGAGTGATTAGAGATAAAATTTTTAATCATCAAACCATCTCCGGCAATATCACTAATCCAACTACACTCTTCATATGTGACCTCATTCCTCACAATATTCTTTGCCGCACAAATATTTTTCAAAGCTAGATTTAATGTGTGCACTACACAAGGAGTCCATAGAATATGAGAGAATTGAGCTTCAATGAGTTGTCCAGCTGCCTTACAATTAGGAGCATTATCCGTGATGACTTGAACAACATTACTAGCCCCAACCTCATTAATCACTTCTTTCATCAAATTTGCAATAAAATATTTGTCTTTAGTTTCTCCAGAACAATCAACTGCCTTAATAAACATAGGCCCACTTTCACTCACCGCCATAAAATTAATCAAAGGCCTCCTTTGAGAATCAATCCAACCATCACAAACAATGCTCACCCCTTTTTCCTTCCATGTGCTCCTAATTGGTTGCAACAATCTATCAATATTTGCCCTCTCCCTTTGAAGTAATGTGGTTCGTAACAAATTATAATCGGGAGGCAAATATCCAGGAATATTATGGTTTGCAGCAAATGTGTAAGAGTTAACATAGTAAGGATTTCTTGCGAGATTAAATGGTACCCCCCCGAGTAGAACATCCTAGCAATTTCAAAATGTAATTGCTCTCTATTCTTCATGTTGAATGCTTTCTCAATAGCACTCCCACTCCCAGGCGCACTTCCACTCCCACTCTCACTCCCACTCCCACTCCCACTCCCACTCCCACTCCCACTCTCACTCCCACTCCCACTCCCACTTGCACATGTCCTCCTTTTCTTTGATTCATAAGCATAACTACTACCAATTGATACACTAAAAGGGGGTAGTGGTACATTTTTGGGATGAGCATTTTTAATTCTCAATTCAGCAGCATCATTCTCATTTTGCAATTGTGAAAGTTGTTGACTTGTAATTTTCTTACAAGCACCAATTCCCTTTCCTGGAAGTTTTAATAGGTGTGCCCTTGCTCTTGTATATGAACCTTTGAAAGTATTGTTACAAAAATTACATTGTAATTGGCAATTTCCTCTTCCTTCCCCAGGTTTTGCTAATTTAGTTAACATACTTCCACAATGGTTTGTTCTCATCAAAATCATCATCAGGTATATCATTAGAACTACCACCCGCAGTAGCCATTGTTTCAGAATTACAAATTTGTTCCTATAATAAAATTAATAAACACACATTATTATTAAAATTAACAAAACTAATAATATATATATATATATATTAAAAAAACTATTTCAGAATATATATATATATATATTAAATACTGAAAAAAGACTTATTAACAAAACTAATAAATACTGAAATAAATACTAATAAAATATATATATATATATATATTCTGAAATAAATACTGAAAAAAAAACTTATTAACAAAAATTAATTAATAAATATATATATATATATATATATATTCTGAAATAAATACTGAAAAAAAAACTTATTAACAAAAATTAATTAATAAATATATATATATATATATATATATTCTGAAATAAATACTGAAAAAAAAACTTATTAACAAAAATTAATTAATAAATATATATATATATATATATATATTCTGAAATAATAGAGGGAAAAAAAATATAAAAAGAAAATAGAAAAAAAAAAAAGAGAGAGAGACCGAAGTCGAAGAAGATGGACGAAGACCAGACAGAGAGAGAGAGAGAGAGAGAGAGACATCGACTGGCGAAGACCAGAAGAAGAAGGAAGAAGACGGAAGCTGAGGAAGGAAGAAGAAGACGTACCTTACGAGCGACGAGCGACGGCCGAGGAGCGACGAGGAGCGACGAGCGATGACGAGCGACGGACGAGCCCAGGTTCTCTTTCTCCTCTGTTTCTTCGCCTTCTCTCTTTCTCTTTTTGTTCTCTACTAACCTCTTAGATCGATTTAGGGCTTTTGATTTAGGGCAAAAATTGGACACTCTAGGGCATGTCGGACACGTGTCCACCGCGTGTCCGACACGTGTCCGACACTGGTACGGAGCACTCGGAGAGGTGTCCGTGCTTCATAGCAGGAGATGGTGGATTTGAGTAGAAGAGGGTGAGTTTGCATCTTTCTTTTGAAATTGGCGTCAAAATGTAATTTTTGAACTTTTTCCATTTCAAATTTGACGGTAGCGGCTAAATTGATACGATTTCAAAGAGTATAGGGATAAAATTGACATTATTCAAAGTCTAGGGGTGTAATTGATCATTGAGACAAAGTATAGGGGTTAAGAAATTTTCTCTGTGATTTGGATGAACAAATGAGTATGTCCCTCTGATGTTATTCTCTGTCTCCCCTTGGGACATCTCATATTTTACATGTACATTTCAATTATCGACACTAACAATGTCGTGACCCTCACGTGCGGAGCACGTGGGGGGTCTAATTAGTATAAAAGAGTAAAAAACACACCCGCTAGTAATTCATGGAACTAAAAAAAATTATATCTTTGCTTGTAGTGGAAGAATAAGAAATTGAGGACCTATGACACAAGACAAAAAATGAAGATGTGAGTTAGTACATGGCAGCTAGTGCATATACTTAATTATGTTCTTTGAAAGGATCACAGGGGCCATGGTGCCCCTAGCCACCCCTTGTGTCCACTGGTGACTTGAGTAATGTAATGAGTAATGTTTATCTCCTTTCTAGTTTGATGGAAATCTTTAATAAGGAATGCCCGGTGTTAGTTTTGGGGGATTTGTTTATGTAATATTCAAAAGTAGATTTTAAAGGGAATGCATAAGTTCTTTCAAAAGCTTACTAATTTAAATAATAAAAAAAAATTATATTTGTTAAAAATAGGAAGCTGAAATTATAGTTCACATTCCCTTTTTCTCAGCTAATACTGAACAAAGCAAACATATAGGACCAATCTAGCAATAGTTCATAAGATATGTTTCTAATTTCCAATTTCTATTAGGCTTATTGTTTCTTGGGTAATTCTTTTATTGAATAAACATATTTGCCCGAGTCAAGTTTCCTAATTGAATCTTAGGAGGACATTTTTTTGTTTCCATTCATAGTCATTTGAGTTTGCAAAAGCCAGGAGTACTTTGGCAAGAGAAAGTCCCAAATCACACACCCACCTAACCTTGTACTTATCCACCTTGCTAGTATGTGTGCACACATGCAAGCTAGAATAACCATACAACTCTTGAACAAAAATACTGGGGCTGGTGTGTGTTTGTTTATGTCAAGTGGTACTATGACATTCTTATCTCTAGCATCAACATGGAGACATGGGACAATGGAAAACTTAAAGCACCCATACAAATTTTAAAGCAAATATAAGCTTAGAAAAGCCAGCCATTTTAAAAAAAAAAAATTAAATTAATTTAAAATTAGCTCCCATGGAACACTTTCGTATGGCAAGCCATAATGAACAACCTTCAATTGCGAGAGAGAAAAACTATACCAAAGTGAAGAAGATTACAACAAACATAGCAGCTAAGGAAAAAATTATATGTTCACCTTCAAGAAGGAAACAGGAACAATAGTACCTATCAATTTGTTTTCTTCTTAAAAAGTAACTAGCACTACAATTTATGCCTTTTTTTTTTTTTTTTCTCTAGAAAGATAGATATAACAAAATATATAAATAAAGCACGATTAGAATGTAGCATACAACATTGACTGCTTGGAGATTTCAAAAAATCCAGAAGGCACATTTCAAAAATAGGCCATATGCTTTCAACGCTCAATGCATACAAAATACTATTTTAAAATGGAATCCAAAAGGCTTTGGCAAAAAATTAAAATAAAAACATTTCTACAACTTACACTAGAATGTTGAATTGGAGCACAAATTCCCATTAGTCCACGTCCAAGATGCTGTATACCATCTTGAAATAATTGGACAATGTTATAAGTCAATTTTTACCCTATGTGCCTTTTCTCTTGCTTTGTTTGCTGGCTACATTATGCTTTTGGTTTGATCATTTTCAGTTAGTTTTGGTCTTTCTTGAATGACTGCTTTGGCCTTGGAGTAGCTTCAGAAAGCTTTGCTTTGTTTTTATAAAGAATGTTTACTTGCCATGGTTGTTACTATTTTTAATTTGTTTAGTAAACAATCAAAACCCATTTTTTATTTTAAACACTCATTCTCTGTAGTAAAATTTTCTCTTGCATTATATTGGAGTTCTCATTCACAACTTTTCTTGGAATGTCGAATTTTCCTAGATGACATCATTGTTCTCTAGTGATATTGGATTCCCGTTCACTTGATTCATGTATTTGTTGAAAAATTTTTGTGAGGATTGTTGATCAAAGTAATTTTCAGGCTTTTAAATTCTCTTTGATATGATATTCATTAGTTACCTTCATGGCAGGCATGAACATCTCGATGACCCTAGAAGAACAGAATGGCAAGGATTTCCTTCAGGGACTAGAGCGGCTACTGCTGGTTTGTGTTAGAATAGGAAATAATTGACTGTAATCTTATTTATTCTCTTGATTGATTGCTCAGAATTATGCCTTATGGCACTCCTATAATTGCTCAGAATTATCAATATAAAAGGGAATGAAAACTCTCTCTTCTCTAGAAGTACGTGGTATTAGAGCCTAAACCCTAGCCCATATCTTTTTCCTGTCTGCCAGCAGTTCTTTCTTCCCCAGAAGCCCAGTTGGCCACAATAGCCTCTCACCTAGGCCATCGTCTGTCATCCCACAGTCCATCCAAGCCATCGTCAGTCCACTAGGGGGTCTGTCGGCAGCTTCTCTGGCACCCTAGGGCCTGTCGACAGCCCCTCTGGCTTTCTTGGCTTCTGTCGGCATCTCCTAGGCTGCCGTCGACTCTCTCCCAGTGTCGACTCTCTCTCTCAGTATTCTTCTCTCTCTCTCCCTCTTGACTTGTAATGGTTCGTTAGTTACATAAAAAAAAAAAATGTTTCTTACTTTATGAGTTTCTAGTTATTATTGTGCTTGTCCCTCCACTCTCATCTTCTAGGTTTGTGATTGGCATTGTGGTTGAGTAGTAGTTAGTAGCATCCCATGGCAAACCCTTCTACTATGACTGATACCCTCCACACTGGCCTTAGAATCACCATATCTCTATTTAATGGTCAGAATTATCTAGCATGGTCGCAGAGTTTGACTATTTTCTTGAATAGCAATGGGAAAATGGGATATGTTAATGGGCGGGTTCAGGCACCCTGTATCACTGACTCTCATTATGACTAGTGGGAGATCACTAATCCTCTGATTATAGGCTGGTTAATCCATTCTATGGTTCCGGAGATTGGAGAGGGCTACTTATCTATGGACACTGCTCAGGATATTTGGGAGGCCGTAGCAACTACTTACTCCAAGAAGGGGAACTTTTCAAAGGCTTTTGAGTTATGTCGCTCTATTGAATGGATGGTACAAGGTGAGAAGACTATCCTCTAGTAGTTTATCTTCCTTAGCAATGGGCGGAAGCGGCTTGATCACCTTCAGAATTACAAGCTTGTCTGTCCCACTGATTCTGCTAGTTACCAGAAGTTTGTGGCGCAAAAGCGGGTCTTCAAGTTCTTGGAAGGCTTAAATGTGGAGTATAATCCGGTTCAGAGCAAAGTACTTGGCATGGATGTGCTTCCTGCTCTTCAGGAAACCTTTGTTTTTGTGCAAAATGAGGAGAGTCGCCGTTCTGTGATGCTTTCTTCTACTACTACTGATCGCTCGGCCTTGGTTTCCGCACCCTCTCATGATGGCGACTGTGTGACTCGTGGTTCTCCTCCTTCCTTTGAGAAGGATAATCTTTACTGTGACTACTGTCGTCGACCTCGCCACACACGAGAGACTTGTTGGATGTTGCATGACACTCCCTCTGGTGGCCGAGGCGACTGTCCTGGTACTCGAGGGGGTCAGTTTGGTACTTGAGGCCACGGGGCCAATGCACGAGCCCATTTTTCAGACATTATTGAGCAACCATCTTCATCTCCAGTTGTCTCCTCCGCTGTTGATGTTTCGGGGTTATCTGCCTCGGATTTTGACATTGCTCTTCGCCACTTGCTAGATCGCCGAGCCTCCATTTCTGCTATAGGTGCACTACCTTCTTCCTTTGCCAATTCAGGTAATTTGGCTTCCTCCCCATGTGCATTGCTATCTCATACGACTGTACCATGGATTATTGATTCCGGTGTTTCCGACCATATGTCTGGCTCCTCTAATTTATTTTTAGAGTATAACCCCTCCTTAGGTCAGGAAAAAGTGCGTATTACTGATGGTACCATTTCCTCTGTGTCAGTAAAATGTTTAATTCATGTCACTTCTTCTTTTCCTTTGTCTTCTGTCCTTTATGTTCTCAATTTTAGTGTTAATCTTTTATCTTTGAGTTGTATCACCCGTTACTTAAATTGTAACGTGACATTTTTTCCTGATCATTGTCTTTTTCAAGACCTTATCACAAGGAAGAGGATTGACGGTGGTAGAGAGAAACATGGGCTCTACATTCTAGATCAGACAGACAAGCTGGCTCATTAATCTATTTAGTTACCATCCACCAAGGAAGACATTTGGTTGTGGCACCGTCATTTAGGACATCCCTTTTTTTTATTACTTAAGCATTTATTTCTCTCTGTTTTGGAGAAAAATAATGTGTCAGATTTTCAATGCGAGTCTTGTCAACTTGGAAAACAACACAGAGCCTCTTTTGCTCCTTCTATTAATAAAAGTTTAGTACTCTTTTCTTTGATTCATTCTGATGTATGGGGTCCATCCCGTTTTGTGTCTTTAACTGGTCAAAAATGGTTTGTTACCTTCATAGATGATTGTTCCAGGGCCACTTAGGTCTATTTGATGAAAGATAAAAGTGAGATTTTTTTTGTGTTTCAAAACTTTCATAAAATGGTTTGTACTCAGTTTGGGGCAGTTGTCAAAATTCTACGTTCTGATAATGAGGGGGAATATATTGGCTCTGGTCTTGTCACTTACTTCGCCACACATGGCATTATTCACCAAACTTTATGCACTAATACCCTGAACAAAATGTTGCTGCGGAACGCAAAAATTGACATCTCCTTGATGTTGCCCATTGTCTATCCTTTGAGATACGGTTTCCTCGATCCTATTGGGGGGAAGCGGTTCTCACTGCCGCTTATTTGATTAATCGTCTTTCTACTCACGTCCTTCAAAAAACAAACACCTCTTCAAGTTTTGTTCGGGTCTATCTTTTTTGGGTTCTCCATTGCTCTTAAGATCTTTGGCTGTGTTTGCTTTGTCCATAATCATTCTCCCCCTCGTGGTAAATTGGATCCTAGGTCACTTACGTGTGTTTTTCTGGGTTATTCTGCCACCCAAAAGGGTTGTGTTATTACCCTCCCACTCGCAAATGGTTTGTCTCCATTGATGTCACGTTCTTTGAGTCTCAGCCTTACTTTCCACCTTCCCCGGTATCTCAGTCATCTCTTCATGGAGAGCCTTGGTGTGAAGTGTTTCCCTTCCGCCAGTGGTTGAACAGATAGAGGATGATGAGCCAGCAGTTGTCGAGGACAAGGAAGCAGGCAAAGTTTATATTAGGGACAAGGACAGACAACAAGTCACTTAGATACAAGAGCCTACTCTTCCTCGACTACTGCCAACTTCTCCGGATGAGTGTTCAGAGTCAACCTCATCTCCTAAGAGTCCAGGTAATTCTAATTCTAGTACTTCTATTCTTGATGTTCCTATTGCTAATAGGAAGGGAGTTATGTCATGTACTCAGCATCCTATTACTAATCATGTCTCTTATTTTAATCTGTCTTCCTCATATAAAGCCTTTCTGTCTAAAGTATCTTCTGTGAGTCTATCTGCCACTTTTCAAGATGCTCTCTCTATTCCTGAACTTTCTGTCTAAAGTATCTTCTGTGAGTCTATCTGCCACTTTTCAAGATGCTCTCTCTATTCCTGAATGGAAACATGCCATGATGGAAGAAATGAAAGCTCTTCGCAAAAGTGGTACTTGGGAGTTAGTAGAGTAACAGAGGAAAAAACCAGTTGGGTGTAAGTGGGTGTATACGGTAAAACAGAAAGCAGATGATTCCATAGAACGGTACAAAGCAAGATTAGTTGCTAAAGGCTTCACTCAAATTTATGGAGTAGATTACCAGGAGACATTTGCACCGGCTGCTAAGATGAATTCTGTGAGAATCTTACTCTCTCTTGCTGCCAATTTGGATTGGTCACTTCATCAGTTTGATGTGAAGAATGCCTTCCTTCATGGAGACCTAGCAGAAGAGGTCTATATGGATATTCCTCTTGGTTTTGCAAATGCTAAGTCCAAAGGTAAAGTACTCAGGCTCTGAAAGTTGCTTTATGGACTAAAGCAGTTCCCTAGGGCTTAGTTTGAAAGGTTTGCTCAAGCTATGCTGAAATATGGGTTCAAGCAGAGTCAAGCTGAGCACACCTTATTTGTGAAACACTCCTCACAGGGTAAGACCACTACTCTCATTGTTTATGTTGATGATATTGTTTTGGCAGGGAATGACGTTGAAGAGATCCCTCAGTTGAAGGAATACTTTGCGAAGGAGTTTGAAATCAAAGACTTGGGTAGTTTGAAGTATTTCTTAGGTATTGAAGTAGCTAAGAGCAAGGATGGCATCTTTTTATGTCAGAGAAAGTATGTGCTTGATTTGCTAAAGGAAACTGGACTGCTTGGAGGTAGACCATGTGATACACTCTAGAACCAGGCTAGAAACTCAGTGAGGATCAAGAGGGAGAGCCAGTGGACAGGGGGAGATACCAGAGACTAGTGGGCAAGCTCATATACTTATTCCACTCACGTCCAGGCATTGCCATTGTCGTGAGCATGGTGAGCCAATTTATGTATGCTCTTAGAACTTCCCACTTAGAGGCAGTTATGAGAATCCTGAGATACTTAAAGTCTTCTCCTGGAAATGGTCTCTATTTCTCAAAACGTGGCCATTTCAGTGTGGAGGCATTTACTGATGCAGATTGGGCAGGATCAGTCACTGACAGACAATCAACTTTTGGATACTGCACATTTGTTGGTGACAACCTAGTTACATGGCAAAGTAAGAAACAGAATGTGATTGCTCGATCAAGTGCTGAGGTAGAATTCAGGGCTATGGCTCAGGGTGTATATGAGTTACTATGGATTAAACTATTGTTGGGAGACTTGAGAATTCATCAAACTGACGCCATGCGACTATACTGTGACAACAAGGCTGCAATCAATATAGCTCATAATCCAGTTCAGCATGATAGAACTAAGCATGTGGAGATTGATAGGCACTTTATCAAGGAAAAACTTACTAGTGGCACCATATGTATTCCATTTGTGAAGATTGGGGACTAACCAGCTGATGTTCTCACCAAGGGATTAGGAAGCAAATCCTTTCATGGCATTCTCAACAAGCTGGGCATGAGAGATATCTTTGCACCAGTTTGAGGGAGAGTGTTAGAATAGGAAATAATTGATTGTATTCTTATTTATTCTCCGGATTGATTGCTCAGAATTATGCCTTATGGCACTCCTGTAATTGCTCAGAATTATCAATATAAAAGGGAATGAAGTCTAACTCATTCCCCAACTCTTTCTCTTCTCTAAAACTACAGTTTGTAGATCTTGGTCCTTTATATCTAGTCTTGCTTTGATCATCTTTAAGAGAAGAGTTCATAGATTTCTCAAAAGCTAATGCTTTAAAAACCTTTTGAGTACATGTCTCATTCTATAATAATTCCTAACCCTATTGGTTACCTTATATATATAGAAGTAATAATTCATATCTTTGTTGTATCTAATTATATTTGGTCGTTGACTTTGTAAATCAAACTTTTATTGGCAACATGTAACTAACTACTTAATTAACTTCGTTTATACAGGTGGGTTAACAACATTGGTTGACATGCCTCTTAATAGTTTTCCATCTATAGTTGCCGAAGAAGCTTTTGAACTCAAGGTATGGATGGTTAGCACCATTAGTTTTTCATTTTTTACCATGGAGGCTGCTTAAAGTTAAAGCATGTTTATATCTTTCTGTTTAGCTCTTCAATTTTCATTTTAAAAATCATTATAGTAAGCTTGCAATAATCATCATAAGCCTATCTCAACTCACTTAAAACAGAAATTTTGACAAGGAAATTTGGAACAATTAAAAAATCAGACTTGGTTGGATTTTAAAAGCCTATTATTGATGAAAACTTGTAGTGAAGTGACCTTGAAGATGGTGCAATTTATAGTTCTACGAGATGTCTAATAAAGTTTCAGATTCTGTTTTTCTGCAGAAGAATTGTATCAACTACAGGCAGTAATGGATTCTTTTTGACGTGCTTAGTCTCCCACCAAAAACAACTCATATCCTGCCAAAATAAGAAAGAAAAAATCCTACCAAAAGAGCTCGTATCATTTACTCAACTCCATTCATAATGATGATATTGGTTACAATTTACAAAAAATAAATTATTATGTTGCTGCCCTTTATGGAGAGAGAGAGAGAGCAGAGAGCAGTGGCACATTTTGAGGATCTAATCTTGTTGCTATCAGCGAAAGCTCCTGACAACCCATATAGGAAGGTATTTGCATCACAAATAACTAATCAAAGGTGTATTTAGTCAAATTAATCAATGTACTATTCTGCCAATTATTTGAGTGGATCGAGTTGATAGCTCACACATAACTTCTCATATAAAAGAACATTTAAATACTTCTCTTCTTACTCTTTGCTAATTATTTGTAGTGCTAGCTCTTTTAGTACGATTAACACTAGTGTTCTTGGTTTAAAGGTAGGGAATTATCCGTATTCTTTTTCTTTCCCTTTCATTTAATGTACTACTTGTTGCTACAATGTTGCTCAATACCTGGGATATCAGAAAACTTTTTTTTTTTTTTTTTTTGGCTTGATTGCCAATTCTCTTTGATAATCTGTGTGCATGTGTTATTCTTTCCCATTCTTCCAGTTGTTGGAGAATCATGTATTAAATCTGACATTTTTTGCTCTTTGCTGTAGTCCTTTATGTGTCCTTTGGGGATCAATGACTTTCCCATGACAAATGCTGACCATATTAAGGTGCGTTCGGTGATATTTAGACCACATATTACAATGATTAATTGTTTTTCATATGAAATAAATGACAGTGTTATTTGCTGCCACATCTTTGATACATCTTTGATGTTTACTGATGCATTTCCAAATTTATCCACAAGTTCACAGATTATTTTTTTTAATGTACAGTGCAATATACATTTTTTTTTTTAAAAAACTTTGATGCACACTCATGTCTCCTCTCATCATGCACCATTTTAACAGTTGGCTGATTTAATTTACACCCCCCCACACTAAATGAATAATTTTCTAATGAAGTTGATCTTCTTATTCACCTGTAGGAAGGATTGTCCGTACTGGCAAAGTATATAAGACTTTTACTTGTACATGCAGAGATTCAACAAGAACTTAAAGACATTGCAGATGACCCTCGATCCTATTCAACATATCTCAAGACTAGCCTTGCTTCATTTTAAAATATTGCTCAAGTTTCCTTTCCTGAAAAGTAAGTTGATTTCTCTACGTTCTACTAAGCACCCAAATTATGTTTTTTTATTTATTTATGAAATTAACATAAATCAAGCAAATCATAGTACATAAATACATTATTTTAAAGGCTGCTAGTTTTCAGAGTCATATTTGTGTTTATCTACTTCTACCTTCAAAGTATGAAAAGAATGCCTCGTGTGAATTTTAGGATGAATGTATTTACATACTATGATTTGCTTGATTTATGTTAATTTCATCTTACATGGATGGATAATGTTCTCCTTCCGCTCATTTTTACTATGATGACTAAGGAAGAGGCAGCTAATAGAGAGCTCTTAACAGTAGCAAACGACGCAAGGGCTGGTGGCCCTGCCGAAGGAGCTCATCTTCACATTGTTCATCTCTCTGATGCGAGATCTTCCTTAGATCTAATTAAGGTATGCTAGAGTTTCTCTTTGTTCTTATAGATATAAAATTCTAATCCAAACATAAAAAATGAGTTTTAAATAATAATAGAAAATGATAGTTTTAATAAAGTAAAGATGTGCTATTTGTAATAAAATTGAAACTGGGACCCCCAACATTGCATCCAAGCTATTATTAGATGACCCCTGTATTAAATTCAAATCTAGAGAAGGTCAAGGTCCAATCCAAAATATTATTGGGACCACCTTTAGGCTCCGGTTATTCATCTCTTTTTCTCTTTTGGATCAATTTCCAAATTTTTACTACACACATTTCTGAAGAGTTCTATCAAGAAACAATGTTTCAAAATAATCTTCTACCAGGCAGATGAATTTTAGTTACTTTTTAAATGAAGTATAGTGGAAAATGATCTAAAAATTCTGAAAATGGAATTTTTCTAAATCCATAGCCTCATTGTTACTTGTTCAAAGTTTTGGAAAGTTTTACCAGTACTTTTATGAAGAATTAAAGATTCTATTCTCATTTCACTTCCTTGTTTGTCTAGGAAGCAAAAAGTGGTGATAGCAATGGTGATAGCACAACTATTGGATTTGGAGCATTACCACATCAAAAGTCATTGCACAGGTATGGATAGTTTTGGATATGACTTTGATGAATGGATTTCTATAATCTTTGGATAGTTTTGGATTTGTTTAAAAACCTAGATAAGAATAGAGTTTTTGGGTTGTTTAGAACTTTTTGGATGGTTTTGAACTTAAGGATAGTTTTTGAAGCTTCACAAACATAGTTTTTGGATGTTTGGAATGTGTAAACAATTGTTGGATGTTCATGATTGGATATAATTTGTTTTTGATATTTTGAAACAATATTTTGGTGGTTAATTGATGCTTTGTGAAGCTTGTTTATAATGTTTTCTTAGATTATATAGGGCAAGTCAAATAGAAGCTGCCGAATTAAAAAGTACATATACATATTCTACGGCCAGCAAAAAAGTCCATTATATGAAATATTCAACAAGCAAAGAGTGTTGTAGTTTGTCCCACGAATTAACGGCGTGCAAAAGTAGTAGTAGAAATCTTAAAACACAACACACAAAAGTTACTGTTAAAGGTTTTTTAACGGCGTACTGTGACATGCCATTGAAGTGAATGAGTTTCCATGATTGGTTATTATACGACTTTAGATCGCGCGTTGTAGAACCATCACCATGGCGTGCATTTCATGTCGTTAAAAGTGAGTATTATAAATATAAAATTTCATTCTCATGCCAACACATTTCATCTTCACAAAACTAAATCATTTTATCTATTTTTCTCAACACGTCATTTCATGGAAATCCACTTATTGAAACATCATGTGATTGTATTCTACAATATTTTTTCATGTCGTATTTCAGGTCGTCTTGTACTTCATTCCAAATTAGGAATTTGTTTCACTGGGCAAGCCAAAAATTGTTAGTAGAATTTTTGTTAGGCTTAGATCGACAGAGACTTAACTAAAATCTCACCAAACGACATAATGATCAAGCAATTGTGTTGAGGTTTTATGCCTTGAAAGTTTCAAAGACTTACTTGGAGTAAAAATAATGACAAAACAAACAAGAGAGAGAGAGAGAGAGAGAGAGAGAGAGAGAGAGAGAGAGAGAAGATGATAATAATGATGATGAAGTAAAATGATTGAATAAACAATCAAGTTACAAATAAAATACATTAAGACTACTCCTATCTAAGTTTGAACTACTCCAATGTAGATTAGATCTACTCCTAATATAGAAAAGAAATAAAAATCAAGTCATGTATTTGATTTGTTGGTGCCCTCTACAATAGAGCCATCAATGGCAATTTATACAAAGAAATGTAGGAAAAAACTTCTATTAACCATCATCTAACCATCCATATAACTTCCTCCTTTTTATATTGTCATTTGTCCTCTATCCCTTGAACCTTCAAAACTTGACTTAACTTCTCTTAATTTTTAAGATTTTCATGCATAATCATAATAATAATAATAACAATAATAATAATAAGTAATAGAAAGTTTAAACATAGTCATATTCGACGGAAAATTTATTTATGGTGCAAACAATGCCCTCCAACTCTTTTAGAATGAGAGTACTCAAATTCTTGAAGAGTTGTATGAACATAAATATATAATATAAACTGTGAAAATTATAATCGATTGGCCATATATATAGTTTTTTTTTTTTTTTTTGTGGCCACATCGAAATACTCCTCCATTACTCTTATATAAGAAATAGAAATAAAATTCAGAATTTCTTTTCGTAAACCACTTCATCAAAATTAATTTTTGATGTGAACCACAAAGCCATTCTTGTTGTTGGATGACAGAAATCATAATGTTAATTGACTTTAGAAAATTAATTTTTTTAACAAAATTAACAATGTCAAAAAGTTGAAATTCATCAAATGTGGGTTGTTCATAATTTTTAGCTATGTTTGGCTTAAAATCATACCCCCTAATTGGATTTTCACCATCATACCCCCTAATTGGATTTTCACCATCATTTTGTGATGATTCATCGAATTTGGCAATGTTTGGCTAAAAATCAGGCCCTCTAATTGGATTTTCAACATCATTTTGTGATGATTCATCAAATTTAGCCATGTTTGGCTTAAAATCATGCCCTCCAATTGAATTTTCACCATCATTTCGTGATGGTTGTTCAATAGTCTTTGTCATATTTGACTTAAAACCATACCCTCTAATTGGATTATTAACTTTAAAATGCTCAATATCCTTTTGGCAAAAGAAGTTGGTCTTCTTTTTCAATTAATGGCTTGAAAAATTGCCCCCTAGGCATGCCATTTTCAAAACTTAATTTTTTCTAGGCCATGGTTTCTGTGGATGGAAAGTTTTGCTTGGAAATGTCTCTTAGTAACTCATAAAATTTGTGCTTTTTAAGATTCTCTAATTTTTTACTCTAATGTTGA